AGATAGTGCAATAGAGAAACGTATAGTCATAACCCAAATAGCGATCCAAAAAAGAAAGATGCTTGTTATTTAAAGAATGAACGTTGATGTAATCTAAGATTGACATAATTCTTTAGCATTTCAACATCTTAATTGATAAGTTTGGAACATTTTCATTTTAATTACCGTCCCTTCACCCTCACGCAGTGCTATGTATATGTCTAAGAACTCATAGAAAAAAATTAATTATATCCATCGATGACGTTCGAATGAGACATGTTTTATTTCGAAATAAATCTATTATAGTATTATCAATTAAGCACTAAAATAATTAAATAGAATAAAATATCGTAGTTTCTAATATGTAAATATACAAACGTTTTTTAAATTCGAATATATTGATTTGAACTTCTGAAATTAAAGACAATCAAGATCTTATTTAAAACAGGACGAGAAAAAATCAAATAGAACTGTATTTGATAGTACCATCTTATCGCTCTAGACTTGTTGTATCTATTTTCGATATTAAATAAAGAGTCAAAATACAATTTAATTTAATCTTCTTGTTTATTGAAAAATAATCATATTAATTATATATAAAAATAAATTAAATTCGAAACAATGAAATTTACCACCATAAACATAAATCACAATTGACAGGTTTAACACAATCATCATGAATTAATTTTTTACTATGAATAAATACAGTCAATTTGTAAAGATCATATGCAGGTATTCCTGCAATACATAAAAATAATAAACCATGTACATTATGATACTTGTTTACAATTAAATATTCGACTGTACGTTCAAGTTCTGTAGTGTTTACCTCAACTGTTAAATGTTCCAATCGACGAAATAATTTGATGAACAACTTAATTTTTTTCAATGAATATTTATAAGGCATATCCAATGTTTTAATTAATCTATATTTATAAGACATATCTACCGTTCTAATTTTATTTCTATCTGATGAAGAACAAAAACTCTTAGTTTGTTGAATTGAATTTAAATCAACATCATTCAAAGATAATGGATCACTTTTGAACGTAACTAAATTACAAGTAACATATAAAATATTAATTAATCGTTCAAAAGGCACATCAAAATCTTTGATCACCAATTTACTAAGTTGATCCAATGGAATAATACGATTAATGATATTGACTAATGGTTCATGAAGTATTTCCGGATAATGATTAATTGTCAATTGGTTGACATTTGGAAAATAATTGGCACAATTTGTCTTGGGTAAAGTACCATAAATAAGAACATGTTCGACCGAATTAAAATTTGTTCCTTGAAATGGACGAATTTCTTTGTTCAATTGCCAATGAAACTCGCAGTTTTTTCTTCTATAAAAAAAAGAATAGGACCAATAACAAGAAAAGACATCCAATTAATATTTTTATACCTATATGGATGAGTTGAATGAGAATCTTTAATATTAAAAGATTGAAAACAATCATATTGATGTGTAAAGAACCAATGTTTCTCAATCCAAAACGATGAAGTAAATGCATGAATTAATTCATCATAATCTAATTGATTTTGTAGTTGAACACCATTATGATAGATATCAAAGATACGTAAATTCTGCATATGAGAAGAAATTAATTTTTCCCATCGTTCTGCATATAAATATTCTTCATCATCTTCAATTGAAATAAATAAAACTTCGACAAATTTAAAACATTTTCGAACAATATCTTCAAATTTATTAAAACGAATTTTTTGTAACTTAAGACAAACTCTTTTTAAATTTTCAAATGATGAAGGATTAAGATTAAACGATGGTACATTCGGATAATCGGAATCGGTGAGCAAATCAATTGATAAACTACGAAGTTTATGCATTCTACAAACTACATCATAAAATGTATCATATGGAAAATAGATATTAATAACAAGATGTTCAATTGTACTAATAAGATTTTTATCAAGATGATAATAGATTGGTGTTTGAAGTATTTTAATCTCATATTCCACTTTAAAATATTTCAATTTTAATAAATGAACTGTTCTATATAAAAAATAAAGTAAAATTTGATTATCATTAGGGTATATAATTAATGTATTTAATTCAGGGAAAACAACATTTGAATTCTTAATAATTTCATCGAAGGACTTGATACTAATATTGTCAAGAACTAATCTTTTAAGACAAATAAAAGACGAAATAAGATGAGATGGTGTTATAAACATATCAGCAATAAATGGATCTGATATACGAAGAACAGTAATACGATTTGTATTAGGTATAATCATATCATTATAAAAATGTTGAAAATTGAATTTTGATATTGTAATTGTAGCATCGACTTTTAGTGGAATGTTGGAGTTAAAAAGTAAATGTTGAAATTTTTTGTTGATATTATAAAATGCTTTATAAATATAATAAATATTAAGATATTGAAATATTTCAAAAATAATTTCATTTGGAAAATCTTCAAAAACATATCTAGATGAAATAAAATTTGGTGTAAATGATTCAGAATGATAAGTTGATATTGGATAATTATTTGGTGAAGGTTCTAAATAGATTAATCGATTTTAATATTATATTTTTTTTTAAATAATTACTTGTATCATAAACTGATCTTTCGTTAGAATTGGTTCGTGCTGATTTGATAAATGTTTTATCATCTATGGGAAGAAGAAGAAGAAAAATATTACGAGAGACATTGAAGTATTTCTATACCTGAATATAGAGTTAAATCTGGATTTTTTCGTTTAATTTTATTATAGCTTGTTGATTGATATGATGATGAAGATTTTTTTTTATCTATATACAAATATACATATATGTGCATTTAACAGATTATATTAAATATTTAAATAATACTAACCAGGTAATACAGATGGATCAAGAAAACATGATGATGAGCCATTACCTAAATTAAAAAAAACAACAGATATTTCATTGAAAATTTCCTTCGATTATTTTTTTACTTTGATTATTCAGAAATGTCGATGGTGGAGTTGAAATAAATAGATCATTACTAGATAAAATAACATTTTGAAATGTATGAATAACATCCCAAAACTCATCTTGTGTTTCAAGATGTGAAATATATACAATTATATCAGTTTCCACTAAATATTCAAAATAAAATTTTATTTCTTTTCGAAAAAAAATTTTTGTTTTACGTACATTTAATTTGTATATGAGAATCTTTAATTTCATCTTTTGGTATTGGAAATACATCAAATATTCGTTTAATAAATGATTTTTGTTCAAAAGCACATTTAATACATGAATTAAATATTGTTTCTAAGACAGTATGACATTCATCTGGACCAAATATTATTGGCATTGATGTATGAAACATTTGTGGATTCAATAACATTCCACAATTATCATCAAGATAATTTAAATATACAGTAACTATAAATAGAATGAGTTAATTAATTAAATATTTAAAAAAATATGATTAAAATCAAATATTGAAAATTGATTAGACATGATCAAGAATAGAATTCTCATAAATATTCTTCATGTTTTCCAGAAAATTATTCACTGAATAAATAATTTGAAAAAAACGAAAATTCTCCTAACATAAATCTTGTTTGAAATTTGTCAAAAAATAAATGGTATGTGGGTTAGCATTCAGTATATATTTCCTAGAAACTGAAAGAGAAGCATTAAATACATTTTTTGATATTCATAATACGTATGATAGATTCATTTCAAAATCAATCATTGCAATTTCTCGATTGTTATCTCGTACTGTTTTTCTCTTATTCGATATCAAGAATCAAATGTAAACTATAAACTACGATATTTTTTTTTCATTAAATCAATACTCAATAATAAAAGTCTTACCAATTGGTTTTTCTTTATTAATATTTTGATTAATTTCATCAAAATCAATACTCAATAATAAAAGTCTTACCAATTGGTTTTTCTTTATTAATA